TGTTGCAGATATCTATGGACGACATCAAGTACTCACAGATTCAGATCCGTCTAGGCACCATATTTCTACTTGTTTAAACTATAAAAACGCGTAGGTATATATCGTCACCATCGGCCTATAAGTGCCCATTTCTGAGCAAAAGCCTCTTCTCACACGGAAATTGTAAGTCCAGTTTTCCTCACGATGTTTACCTTCACAGTGGGTAAAAAATGTCACATTGGTACTTGCCAGGTTTTCAGCCTATCTACTTATGCATGAGAAGCGGGTGCCTTAACCTCTGGGCCACCTCGACTTAGAACCTTAAGAACGCGTATAATAGGGTGAAATATTAAAAGCAATTTATACAATTTCTAAGAAACTTCATAACATACTCGTACTTACATACTTAACGTTAGTAACACGTATCTCTTGTATTTAGAGCAAAATATACTTAAACCAAGTTGTATTACTTTAATTTTAATGTTGATCCTCTTTCATAAAGTTTACAGTCTACTTGTATTTTGTTAATATGTGTTAAACTTGGGTATTTATCAAAGGATCTTAATGTGTCTAAAGAGTACGGCGCGTAGCGTTCCGCGCGCGCACAGACGGGGCCCTAAAGGGCTGATGTTCAGCCGGGGTTGCGGGGTAAGCGCAATAAGGTACCGCGACCTCGGCACAGAGCAGGAGAAGGAACAGGGGGGTTTTTAGTCAGTAAGAGTCTGACACTCCCTCCTGCCCGGCCCTGGGCGGGAGAAGTCATTTGATGATTTTCCCCTCACAAAAAAAAAAAAAAAAAAAAAAAAAAAAAAAAAAAAAAAAAAAAAAAAAAAAAAATGTGTCTAAAGAGCAAGTTTTCACATGAAACGTACATTCAGAGGGATCATCAAATAAATTAAGTGTAATATATTTTTGACAGACCTATTAAGCAAGTTTTGTTTATGTGATAGCTCGGCTGATGAGCTGTCTGATCACCTGATGGTAAGCTATCGGCTCCGGCCATGGACACTCACATCGATTTGAGGATGGACGATGAAGAAAGTCAAGTTTGAGAGAGCCATGCTTCGCCATCGCCACGAATGGGTTCGCTGGACTAGAGTAATACCACGATCTCAGAGAAAACTGGCGTAAAACAACAACAGTGTTGTGTTTTGCCGTTTAAGTGGAGTTACAATCCTTCCTATACCCGAACCCCACTACTTTTCTTCCCATAAGGTTGGCAACGCACTTGCAACTCCTTTGATGTTGCGTGGTCCAGACCCAGCACGAATCACATAACACTAAAGTATCGTCGCTCATAATAACATTCACGAAAATGACCTCTAAATTATACAAACATTCGCAACTAGACTCTATGTACACTTCAGGACCATTCTTCAGACTATAACAACTAACTTAATACCCCATCTACACAAGTTAAGAACGCAGTTAAGGGTCCAGTAACAGTTTGTACTGAGAATTATAATGTCTTTCTTGAGCCTCTCAGAGGGCCCTCGAGACCGCCCTTTTGTCTGCAAGCTAAGAGGAAAAGTCTTTAGTAGGTATATTGAAAATGCTTGGACAAACCATAGTATGCGACTGTAGAGTTTTAATACTATCTTTCAATGAACATCGTGGAAGTCAAAGTCGGAGTCAAAGTCAAAATCACTTATTCCAAAAAACCATAACTTTTGAAACCTCAAAATAGAATAGTAGTCTGAAAGTCTGTTCGTCAGGAAACTATCTACATTAGATAGTTTAGTATATTTCAGCAACATATCAAGGTCTCAAAAGTGAATCAACGATGCTCTTATCATGGCTCAGGTACTGGCATTTAGTTGTTTGCGAATTGTCATTCTTTGGCATTTTTCTGTGACATTCAAAACCCGGCCAAGGTTTTTTGAACTTCAATGACAACATGGCAGATATCTCAGTAGTAAAATTAGCACACAGGATATCATATGCACTGCTTATGTTACAATACGAAACTTATACCTACTATAAATTATCTACATTACAAAAGTGAATAGAATAGATTTTAAAGAAAGATGGAAAATTTGATCTGTCCATACAACCTTGAAATAAAATGGTCACTTAAATAATTATTTCTAATATTGTTAAACTTTGCTGTTTTAAAGCTAGAGGTAGATTTTTCTTAGTATCAGAAAATCAAAGATATTGTAAACGTTCTTTGTAAATTTATCTTTGCAACAAATAATTAATATTACTGAAAGTCAGAACTAAATATTAAAAACTAAAACTATTTTGATTGCGAATTAAAATTACTTAGAAACAGTTAAACGTTTTAAAAGATTCTTAATTTGCTTAGTTACAAAAGTCGTTGGCTTGATAAATACTTTTTTCATAAAATTCATATTAAATAACGCATATGAATAAATGAATTCTAGAAATCTAACTTTCGAATATAAAGGTCTGTTTAAGAATGACCACGGTTTCAATAAAAAAAAAATTCGTTACTTTCGTTACTTTTCGTTTCGAAACTAATTGGAAAAATGGCCATATCTAATCATGAGTGACCTCGGCCCATCAACCTTCCAATTTTATCTTTTATAAGAGTATAACAATTAGAAGTGTTTTAAATGTAAAGTATAAGATACAGCGGCCAAGGCACAAATCAGGCACAAAGCAGAAAACTCACACACAAAACAAAGAAACACACACACACGCACACACACACACACACACACACACACACACACACACACACACACACACACACACACACACACACACACGCACACACGCACACACACACACACACACACACACACACACACACACACACACACACACACACACACACGCACACACGCACACACCTTAACAAAGAAATCTTCGTCACTATCATCTGCAAAACTAGATTTTCAGCATCAAGAACCGGCCTGAAATGTGCTCATACACCTGCCTACTCATTAACGATCTTACCGACGCAGAAATTGAATTAAAACCCACCGAAGCTCCTAAGTTTGCGTATATTGAATAAAATTAAGTTTGATGAACACTCGGTTACTTGGTTTCGAGATAATTAACCCTGTTTGCTGTTTGTGTTTGTCGAAGTCAGCTTAATTTGAAGATGGTGTAATGCAACTACATATAGTTGGCAGCGGTGCAGTTTCTAGCATCTTGACTTTAGTTGGATTGTGTGCCTGAAACAATTATTTTGAAGCAATTACCTACCTATTGTTGTTTATTCATTCGTTTATCCATTTGCAGCCTATGGAAGCTTAGTCTATCTTTGATTTTAACTGTTGACCAACTACTGAACTACGGAACTTAAAATCATCTTAATATGACACTGTGGAAATATTAGAAAGGACGTAAAACTTGTATTGGTTACAAGTTTCGTTTTTACACTTTTCATTTTTCCTATTGGTTTATTAAATTCTTAACATACAATACGTGCTTAAAAAAATATTCATTTGGAAATCAACTCTTCCTTCTTCCTCTTATCTTTAAAATAAATAGGTTTTTTTTATAACACCACGTTATACACGCATTTCAAACAATAATCAAATGAAATTCTTTTCTTGCAACGTCACATAGAATTACAGCAAAAATTGTTTACACATCTCACAAAGTAATGCGATCTTCTCAGAAACCCACACCTGCACCCTAAGATGACAGGTAACATAAGATATTACTTAGCAAGGCTCATGTTTCTTACATTATCTTAACTAATTATGACTTAGGTACCGCGGAATGGGAGGAAATGGAAACTTATGTAGATACAGGAGACTTTATGAAAATTCTGTTTAAAACTAGCAGAGGCATCACCTGATGGTCCTATGCAATTGACGCCAGAAACATCCGTAACACTATAGAAGTTACAAGTACGTTGCCAGCTTTTTGTGTTAGTTTTTTTTTTAATACTGCGCTTTTGTTGTCATCTTAGCTATCTACGGTTGAGCCGGTCTCCCAAAGTTTAAGGTCTCCATCCGCTACTTTTTTAAATTAATGTTTTTAGGAATCCACTTTCTTATCAGAATACCTACATGCAATAGAATTTTGTTTAGAGTAAGAAAATCCGAAAACTGATGATATGATATATAGGAATCCTAACTTTTAGACCCAATGTTATCTAAAAACAGTGTAGATATGTAAATACTTATCAGAAATTCTCGTACTATTTCACACGATAACCAACCCCTAGCTCTCTCGGTGCTCTCTCGGTACCAACGAATTATCCCTGCAAACTGAATGTCTATTAGAATCATTGTCACGATTCCGCGCCGAAGTCAAATGAAATTTCGTAGTACGTGATATGGAATTTCACTTTGTATTTCGCTTTATTTAATTTTGTTGCTCTATTGAATGCAGTAATAATTCTTTTATAAGTATTGAAAAGGTTGTTTTAATGCTTCGTTTCTTCATAGCGGGCAATTGAATTTTATGAATTTTAGAAATTTTATGAAGGTAACAAGACTGAGAAAGTGTTATTTATATTACATCTTTTTTTAATTTTAGTATATCATCATCATCATACTTCCTGACTCCAAAACTATTTATTCGAATGAAACCAAAATAAAGTACAAAACTTCCATGTAAACAATCCACATATGTACATAACTATACCAGTTTAAGTGTGGAAGAGCCATGCTTCGGCACAATTGGGTCGGCTCGACCGGAATGATACCACGAACTCACAGTAAACCGGAGTGAAACAACCACAGCGTTCTGTTTTGCCGTGTGAGTGAGGATTCCGGAGGCCAATCCCTCCTCCTCCCCCATCCCTTCCCAATCCTTAAATATCTGAAACCCTTATCCCTAAAAGGCCGGCAACGTACTCGTAACTTCTTTGGAGTTGGGGGTGTCCATGGGCAGCGCTGATCACGTACCATCAGGTAATAAATCTGTCTAAAAATACATAATTTAATACGAACATTATGTCAATAAAGTTAACAATTCATCTTGCCACGCTAATCTACTCGCACACACACACACACTACCAAATAAATATTAGTTCACATTGTTATGATAAATACAGTACAACTTACTACTGGTGACATTAAAAGTTGAACTCCCGATAACAAACTTCCTCGTTAGTCGCAAGCCGTCGGCACTGGAACGATGACGGCATTAAAATTATTAATTATTTTATCTTTAATTACTATTAAAATTGACGCAAATGTTGTTATAAACCGGTATGATGAGGAGTGTGTTTTGGATCCAGCTTTAGTGGCAGAAATAGCTTCATATGAAAATGTTACCAAACATATCATGGATCAAATCAAGAATAATTATGGGAAGACAATGTATCAAGAGTGAGTACTTATTATTAGTCATTACAAGATATGATATAATACGCAATGTGAGTATAATTGTGAGGTGAAATCTTGAAACAAACTTTTAAAACAAAGTGTCTTTTTTATTTAATTAAATGTAATCCATGTTTCATTAATAATATTACTACCTCAAGTGAAGCCTGTTGCTGGGGCTTGCCAATGGTATGTCATCCCCATTTTCATCAGCCAGTAAACATCTGACTGCTGAAGAGTAAGTGCCTCTTCTTACATGGAGAAGATTTCAAAACAAATCACCATGCTTGGTCAATGCCCATTGGCGATTTAAAAATTATAATTAGGAATTTTAAGAGATGTAACCTTCTGTTTTTCTTCACTGTTTGTCTGCCGTATGATTATTTATATAAATAGACAATGGAATTGCTTTTGAAATAGGCACAGATGCAAAAGTGGTTTAAGTTGTGTTGATTAATTCGTTTAGAAACTTCAATAGAATTATTGATTTATAATATTTTTTGTTTTTATTTTTAATCTGTAGTTTAATTTTATTTCATTTCAATTTCAGGTATACAAATTTCATAGACAAATTTGGTGCCCGTCCATCAGGAACATTTATTTTAGAGAAATCCATAGACCATATGATTAATCTAACCAGACAACATGGTCTGAATGACGTCACTACTGAAGAATTGGAGGTAATAATTAAAAAGCTAATTATAAGCGATAATATTATTATTATTAGCGAAAAATACTGGTGTTGGTAAATAAGAACGCAACCAATTGTACTGTTCTGTGGCAACACTGACGGTAGCTTTCACTTAATTTAAACAATCGTTTACTTAATTATCATCGGTTTAGTTAATTTTTAAGGACCCATACATACATAAGATCTTGCCTGTTTTCAATTAGGGCATTGCAGAGACAATGGAATGCCGATGACAGGGTACCTCTTTCACGTCATATTCATTCATCAATGTTTTATAGTGACACTTTTTATACCACAAGAAAGTGTTTTAAATTTTTGTAATGTTTTTTTATGCTGAAAAAGTGTTTACCAGAAAAAGGTTTTTTTTCATAGGTAATGAACAAACATGCATACTTAATTAAGACGTCGATGATTTTATTGTACTTATGAGAAAACCCTGCAATTATATTTTATATATCAGTTACGTACATTCTAGTTATAAATATTCCATTTCAGTACTATTATATTAAGATTTAAGCAAATTGGGCACGTAACAGGAAATTGCAGTACGTGCCGCTACAAAATTGTTTCAATAATAATGTCCATGTTTGGTCTCGAACGTTAAGAAATGGCTCTAGAACGTAAATTCATTAAAAAAAAATATATGGTAGAAATAAATACATTTTTATTTCCAGGTTCCCCATTGGGTACGCTTACATGAATACGCTTTAATGTTACAACCTCGGGTGAAAAATTTAGCTATACTTGGATTTGGTTCCAGCGTCAGTACACCACGAGGAGGAATCATTGCTGAAGTAATAGTTGTAAAAAGTTTTGCTGAACTTGACAAACTAGACAAAACAAAAGTTCAAGGAAAAATAGTAGTATTTGACGAGCCGTATGTTTCTTATGGTGAAACTGTTATCTATAGAACACAAGGAGCATCAAAAGCTGCTAAGAAGGGTGCTGTAGCAACCCTTGTGAGGAGTATAACGCCATTTTCTATTTACGCACCCCACACAGGAGCACAATTCTATGAAAATAGTGTTACAAAAATACCAACGGCGGCCATTACTCTAGAAGACGCAGATTTGTTACAAAGATTACAGAACGAAGGAGCAAAGATTGTGATTCAAATGGGAATGTTTTATATGAATAATATAACTACATCACGTAACACATTAGTCGATCTTAAAGGCAAAATAAATCCAGAGAAATTAGTTATCGTTTCTGGACATATAGATAGTTGGGACGTAGGAGAAGGTGCAATGGATGATGGTGGAGGTATGATGATAAGTTGGTTTGTTCCAGTCGTACTAAATACTTTAAAACTAAGACCAAGAAGGACAGTGAGAGCAATTTTGTGGACTGCAGAAGAGCCAGGATTAATAGGGGCTCAAGCATATTTGAAGCGCCACAAAAACGACCTCGACAATATAAATTTCATCATGGAATCAGATGAAGGAACATTTAAACCTTTAGGGTTGGACGTTGCTGGTTCCAACAAAACACGATGTATTGTGCAGGAAGTTTTGAAACAATTCGCACCTATAGACAAAATGGGGAACAGTGGGGCTCCTGGTTCCGATATTGTTTTATTTATAAGACAAAACGTGCCTGGAGCATCGTTGCTTAATAAGAATGAACGATACTTTTGGTTCCACCATAGTGAAGGCGATACTATGAACGTACAAAATATGGAAAATGTAGTTGAATGTGCTGCCTTTTGGGCAGCATTCTCATACGTCATAGCTGATCTCTCGGTGGATTTACCACGAAATTAGTTGTGGTTGTTAATAAGTACTTTATTTAAGTAACATTTTTATATAAGAAAAAATAACGTTGTTAATGCCTAAATTCACTAGTGCACAAATATTTCAAGTTCAATTAAGGCATTTAATAAAAATATCATGTTTTGCATAGCATTTAACATTGGATACCAATTAATCGAGGCACTTCAAAAAAATACTACTTGCTTCCTTCCTGTGACTTTGTTTAGAGTTTAGAAGATTTTGCCAAAGAAGCATCGGGATGTTATTTTCTATAGACTGTCCAAGACTTCAAGTATCTATTACGCACAAATAATGAAAACTTTTCTCGTGCATAGTAGGTATTAGTATCAGTATTAATCACACATATCTAGCAAAAATAAACATACTTAGTTATTTAAAAATATCACAACACAAAGCAGTTTCCCAAACAAAAATCGATGACTGGAAATCTGTTTCAATATTTTGTGTAACGTTTTCTGTCACGCAAACAAATCTTAAGCCCGGGGCTTCTCTTTGTGCCATCACGCTGTGAATTATGCCATCGAAGCAATCCTTTGAAGTTCAATAAATTGTGACTATTTCTACAAAAATCTCTTTTCAAGTGCTTTTATCGTTTTGTCTTCTATAACTTTCAACTTTAACTGTTTTTTTGTTGATTTTATATATGATGCAGGTGAAGCAATAAACGCCGCCAGTAAATATCCGCAACACCAGAGGAGCGCATTACCGCTGCAAGCACATTTTCGGGCTTTCGTAGTTAAGGAACTTTGGGTATTGAGGGATTTGGGAGGGATGGGTAAGATATGGTCTCGAGTAATCTCGCATCGCCTCGCAACACAGTTTTCAATGAGGGTGTGCTATTTTTCCATTTGTGTGGTACGGTTGATTTTAGAGTTCGGTATCCATAAGTTTGAAACAAAAATCCTATTACTCGGCTAGCCGCCCATCTATCTGTTATAAGGCTATTAAATCAGTTGAAATTTAGCTAGGTATTATATTAGTCAGACAGTTGAAATTTGGACAGTTGTTGCATTTTAATTTGCTGCTATAAAAAAATAACAAATTTAATCAAAATTTAATGAAATCAATATTAAAAGCCTATAAAACAAACGTTATTATAGTAAGGAAGAACGTAACAGATAGTTGCTCAAATTTTTCAGAGAATCATTATCATCTCGAAGAACCAAGGCTTCATCATAATCAAGAAATAATTTGACAAGTCCAACTTTCCTTCCAACGTTTTCTTTATTACAACTCAAAAAGTCTAGACGTTGACTTTGAAAAGCGGTACCATAACCTCCAGGCTATAAACCTACAAAATGTATTATTGATTGAAGTAGTTATATTTTCTCCATTTCATTTACACTTGGCTTTTAAGAGAGCCGTTGAAGTTCTATCTACGAGTACGTATTTACCCCGACCGCTTTGACAGTTACAAATATTATCCAGACGTCACTTTTTTCCAATATAGTGGCTCTGTAGGCAGCCAATATTTGTCATTCCATTTCGGTAACATTCCTCGCACCATATTGCTTTTACCGGTTCTATTTCGAAGTTTCTGTTGTGACACTTATTTCAAATTAATGTAAACAGTAAGTACGTGTGTTATTAAAAGTGTTTGCAATACACATATTGTATATTTAACTTCAATTGTAATAGTTAGCTGTAATATTAAGTGTATTGTTATTACTAAGTTCCAAATTACTTTCTTCAGTCATTAATTTGTGACTATAGACAAAACTGCTAAAGTCGAAATTACCACACCACCACATGGCGAATAGTCGCCATGGTAAAGATCTCAGAAAGAACGAAGCTTTCAACCGTCCGACCGACCGACTGGAACTCATTGGAGGTAGGTTCAGTGGAAGACATCTTGTACCTGTTATGATGCTGCAAATGGTAAAGAAATCAGTACGTAGACATACTATTGAAGTACGCAAATTTTCTTTTCTCCTACATTACTCAATATCTAATATTAAAATAGCTATATTCCTTTTCCTCAATTTTAAGGAAAAGTACGGATAAAGAAAGTATGGCAAAAAAATAAAAACAAAGTAACCTTTCCGTGATAAAATTTGAGGAGTCCATTACTTTTGATTGGCTGTAACCCTTTATTTGAGCTGGCAACTTTATGCTGAGCTCTCACGATTCGAGTGTTTTGTTGAAAAGTCTTGTATTACTTACTCGTATTTTAAAATCAGACCTCGAGAAAATTTCATGAAATTGATGCAAAACTAATGTTTTTTGTGTTAGTTACAAAGTTCACGAATTTGGAAATAAATGAAAAAGTCAACAACTTATATAAATTGAATTTAAAAATGGACTCTTTCAAATTCTCGTCTGTAGTAGGTATCTCAGGCAGGCAGTGAGTAAATCAAACGGTTTTTTGAAGTCCACTAAAAGCACAGGTAATCACTAAAGAAAACATGAAACGAAGTATACTAAAAACAAACAACGGCTGAATATTTTTGAAAATAAACACCTTTTATAAAACCTCTTCAGAGAAAAAAACGTTCGAGTTGTTTGCGCGAAAATCTCATGAGTCACGAGTAGGAAGCAAAGGGCAGATGTTAAATTTGTTTAAACATTACTTTAATGTTATTATAACTCAGCAGTTTAAACGTGTTAATGAAAGTAAAAGAAACATAATACCCCGTTTTTTTAATCTTTTAGACAAACAAAAGCTACTGACATTTAATTTTATAAAACTCTTCTTTTTTTAATGTCTGATTGTTTAATGTTGGGAGGGTTAGACTTTGAGACTTTTTAGAATGAGCGGGCTTTGCTGGAATGAAATCATGATAGCGTGATATATCGCTTGCTTTGTGTAATAATAATGCACAATGCAAGCGATGGAGAACCAACGCACCCCTTTAATCTCCAAAGGCCAGTAACTTCTCTGGGATTGAGAGTGTACATCAGTAGCACCAATTGCTTACCTTTAAGTTATACGTATAATCGTTTGCCGCCCTACCATATGAAAAAACAAGAGGTACTTCTACTACTTAACAAACATCCTCGATGTACATATTGTACTAAGTTGTTCTCATTTTAAAATCGATCTTCTTTGTTCTTATTTCAATTCTCACAAAAGGGTTTTGGTTTGAATATTTTTCACCGTATATATTGAATATACATTTATATGCACACGGAGAAGGTTTGAGCATTATTTTATTTGACATTAAAAACTACAGCGTTTGCTGAAGGCAAGGATTAGACATTGCAAACTTATAATTATTAATGATAAGTCCAGGTTTCCCAACGACCTTTTGCTTTTCCTCATTCTCGAAATCTTAGATAGTAAATATTATTTAGAACACACAGCGCCTTAAACTACGGGCCACTACGATATTAGGTATATGCAGTGAAGTAAAATGTAAACATTTGATGAGGAAAGTTACCACTTAGCCAAAGTTACCTTAAGCCCAAACAGGGATGATCATTCATTTTTATCTGATTCGTAGTTTGTAAACTCGGGTCGCGAGTCATTTGTTTAACTATATTTTGGTAGGAATAAGTTATGCGAGCTTGTGGGGAAATGAGATATATTTGATGAAGTTAAAGACTCATTTACCGAAAGAATTTTGGAGTTTCCGAGCTAATGTTTTCAAACCCATGACATCAAGAGGCACAAAAACTACTTATGTTGTCTCTTTTAATGATAAGTAAGAGTTAAGATAATTTGGGTATGAAAATTATGAATCTATTTAGACCATCACGTAGTTAGTGATTTTTTAAGTGTAGAAGAGCCAAGCTTCGGCATGACTGGGCCAGCTCGACCAGAGTGATACCACGGTCTCACACAATACTGACGTAAAACAACCACCGAGTAGTATGCCATGTAGGTGAGGTTACTGGAATTCCTTCTCCTTTACCCATTTCTCGCCAATCTTCAAAACCATAATCCCTAAAACGTCGGAAAAGAACTCGTTATTCAGGAAATCCTGTTTACAACCCTGACACTTGTTCTTTTTTATTAATCACTTTTTTCCTATTGTCATTTACAAACATTAAAATTAACCATTTAGATAACAATACGAAATTCGAAAATTTAAATCAACGTATCATTCATTTACTTGCAAATTATTTTTTTAATATATCACACGGCAACCATTTAAATTGGAATAATTTGAATGATTTAAACCGTTAACGAATTTTGTAGAGCTTGCATTAAAGTATTAATGAGTTGGTTTTTTGACGACCAAAAAGTATCATTACGGAACCACTCATTCGTTGCGGAGGAGACTGCAACAAAATCATTGCATTTTGGTTTATGCAAATGAAATTTATAGGCAGAATTGATGTACCTACATTCTGGTATTATACGTACAGAATTAAAATTCTCTCATACACGATGATGTGAGTGTAAGTGACTTTTAACAGACATTATATTACTTGAAAATATTATATTTACCTTTTATAAGTTGTAACACGAAAGTATTGCTACCTGAAGGACATAAATTGCAGCCCAAAACTTTACCTGGCAATATAATCATTATCAGCCCATAAGTGACCACTACTACTGAGCAAAGGTCTCCGCAGAGGTTTGAACATTAAATAATCACGTAAGCTCAAGGCAGATTGTTAATTTCAAACTAATAATTTTCGATAAAATAAATTCGATATCATAATTCAGATTTTTCCATCGAAGCATGTTTGTGGCATCTAAATAAACTTAGGAAGTACATATTACTTGAAAAAGTCCCACTGGTACGTATCAGGTATCTTATCCGTAACCTCATGTATAAGAAGAAGAAGAATGGATAAAAAAAAGCCTTAACTTCTGGACCACCCAATAATTTGACAATTTCATATGCCTAGCTTCGGGCCCATGGCCAAATCTCTCATATTTTTCCAATACCTATATAATATATATAATGCTTACTTAATTCCACACCTGCATGTAACATAAAGAATGTTCAAATATGAGCGAGTGCATTGCTGATGGCGTATAATTTAGTTCGCTACAGGAACCTACATCATCGTATAGCACACGACATAAACTGAAATCT